TTGAACCCTTTGACTTTTTTTTTTTAATTAAGGTATTATATGTGTACATATCTTACCATTGCCCCCGAACCCTGTTGACTTTGTACTATTGTTTTTCTTTATTTCCTGTCTACATATATTTTAAACTTCATTATATTTATCCTATCTAATAAAGAGAGAATATGCTAATTGACTGTCACACCCTTACAAAGATGGCGGTGCCCACAGTCAATAAAGAAGAAATATGCTAATTGGCTGCCTCACTCTCAAAGATGGTGGTGCCCACAGCCACAAGATGGCAGTGCCCAGTCCCCTTAGCCCCGCAAGGACAGCAGGTGCATGGCAAGGCTCAGGCCCACCTCCAGGCAGGTCTTGCTGCTCCATGCACCTGCCTCTGGAGTCCCCCAGACCCCTCAGCCCCCCAGCCTCCCAGGGCCAGCCTGAGGAACGCCCAAATGACTGAACAAGCAGGCTGCATGGGGTGACCAGGTGCAGTTGGAGGCAACCAGGTCAGCATGGGGGGCCAGGTGGGGAATATTAGGCTGGCAGGGAGGCAGTGAGGGGTGACTAGGCTGGCAGGGGGGCAGTTGGGGGCAGCCAGGTCAGCAGGGGCAGCAGTTAGGGGTGACCAGGCAGGCAGGCAGGTGAGCACTTAGGAGCCAGCGGCCCAGGATTGTGAGGGGAATGTCCCACTGCCAGTCTAGACAGGTTGGACATCCCCTGAGGGGTCCCAGATTGGAGAGGATGCAGGTTGAGCTGAGGGCCCCGCCTCGCCGTCCATGAATTTCATGCACCAGGCCTCTAGTCTATAGATATATAAAACTGTAATACACAAAAAGACCAAATGGCAGAACAGCCGAACAACTGGTCGCTATGATGTGCACTGACGACCATGGAGTGCACGTGGAACATGGCAGGCATGGCAGGCATTAGCTGTGGGAGGATGGTGGGGGAGATGAGTGGGGGGCACCAGACCAAGGTGAGATGCTGGTCACTGTCATTGGGGTGAGCCTCTAGTTACTGAAAATTCTTTGCTCCCACACACCGTGGTCCTGTGGGTGCTTGCACCTGCTGCCAGGAACTGAACCTGCTGTTGGCACCAACCCCACTCACACCCGCTGCTGGTGCCAGAGCTGCTGCCAGAGCCTGGCACCGGCCCCAATTGCTCCGCGCTATCAGCAGTTTTGAGTGGCTGCTGCCAGCCCCGATCATCCTTGAGGCTTCTCCACCTCCCCCTGTTCCTGAGGGGTGATCAGGGCAGCAACAGCCACTCATTCCCACTGATGGCACTGGCCTCAACCGCTCTGTGCCATCAGCAGGTATGAGCAGGGCCAGTGCTATCGGAGCGTGGGAGTGGCAGTGGCGGGGGCAGGGATGCCAGCAGATGAGACTGGGACCATAGCGGAAGGGACCATGGAGGGACAGGCCGAGACCCACTCCTGTGTCCAATGCAGCCTCACAGCCCACAAGGTGCATGAATTCATACACTGGGCCCCTAGTTTTATAAAGTCAATAATCATTTGAATTTGACCAAATACTAACCTTTTCTTATTATGTCCTGCATTTTTGTGCTGACATCTAGATTCATTGTACTTTTGCTTGAAAAACTTTGAATATTTATTTTAGAATTGGTCTTTTGGCAATAAGTTCCTAGAGTTTTTATTAACTGAATATATTTTTATTTTTCCTTCATATTTAAAGGATATTTTTGCTGGGTGGGTAATACAAAATTAGAAGTTATTTTCTGTCTGCACTTTAATGATATTATTCCATTGTCTTTGGTTTCTTTTTTTCTGTTGACAAGTCAACTAATAATTTTTATTGTTTCTTCTTTAAAGGTAATGTGTTGTTCTTCTCTGGCTGTTTTTAAGATGTTCTCTTTGACTTTAGCTTTAAACAGTTTTGCATGATGATTTTGAGTGTAGTTTTCATGATATTTATCCTGTTTGTGATTAGAGAGTTTTTAAATGTAGGACTTGAGATTTTTTGTCAGTTTTTAAAAATTCTCATCTAGCTTTTACATCATTTTTTTTTTTTACCTCTTTTCTGAAATTCCACTTATATAGACATTAGCTCTTTTACCATGTTCTACTTATCTTTTGTGCCCTTTTTCAATTTTTTCTTCATATTCTAGTCTTGATATTTTCTATTGACTTATCTTTCAGTTTTCTAATTTCCTCTTCTTTTGCATCTAATATGCCTTTAACTGTTTATTGAGTTTTTATTTTTCAGCTATTGTATCTTACAGATTAATTTGTCTGATGAAGATCTCTATCTTATCATATAGTGTATTAAAATATCAATCAAAATTGTTTTAAAGTATACTTCTGATAGCTCCAATATCTGGATCACTTTTTGGTTTGCTGTTTATTTTCTGTTTTTGTTTTTCCTTCTTGGGGTTTGGTCATTTATTTCCATTTTCTGGCATGCTTAGTAATTTTTTTAGAAAAATTGAATGTATGCTTTAAATAATAAAAAAATTATAAAGGTTCTGAATGATGCTATCCTATTCCAGATAAAGTTATTCTTTTTATTTTTTTTAATGGTATATAAAGTCACCTTAATCCAATCAGGGAGGTGGATGAGTCAAGGTTGCATTTAAGTCTTTGTGAGAGTTAATCTGTTTCTCTTTTGCTTTACTGAAAATATAAAGCCTTTTTCTTTCAGTTCACTTACCGAACTGAAAGCCTGAGATATTTATCAAATCTCTTCCTTGGTGGACCTTGAACTTCAGTTTTAATCTTTCCAACACCAAAGACAGCCAATGAGCCTGGCTTAGATTTAGCCTCCTAACTTACTTTCTTGGCTTCTCACCGTTTGTGATTTAGGAATTATCAAATTACTCAAGGGGAAAAATGACCAAGAATTTCTAGCTCACTTCTCTGTGATTTCCTTTTTTCCTCGATCCTGGTTCTTCTAATTCCTGGTTGTTATAAATTCCAATTATAACCTTTCTAACCCTATCCTGGCTATCCTAAATTCCAATACTTATCTTTCTATTTCTGAGCCACTATTTTCTACTTGACCTCTTATGTCTGAATGTTTTAGAAATTAGTAAATGTCTTGAAGGAAAAGGGGATAGATGATGTCATGGTCACTCCAATGCATTTTCCTTCTTTCAAGGATTAGCCCTCAAGTTCTGGCATCTTTGGTTGCTCTTCGATACCTTAGAACAGTGTTCCCCAACCTTCTCTCATGATGAGAATCACCTGGTGGAGTTGTTAAAACACAGATTCCCGGATCCCAACTAAGAAGTGCTAAACTAGAATTTTTGGGAACATATAGGTAAAATTGTATACTTAACTAGTGCTCTAAGACAGATTTTATATACAGAGCACTAAGTTAGGTATGCAATTTTACCTATATGTTCCCAAAAATTCTAGTTTAGCACTTCTTAGTTGGGATCCGGGAATCTGTGTTTTAACAACTCCACCAGGTGATTCTCATCATGAGAGAAAGTTGGGAAACACTGCCTTAGAAAATGACCTTGGTTTGTTTTTCTTGGTAGCTTGTTGAGATTTTTTAGTTATTCTTGGCTTTAGGCTTGGCCTTATACAAACTACTTAGCGAAAGTTTCAAATCTACTCTTTAAATTTACTCTTTCATTTGCTGATGACTTATATCTGTTTTAAGATGACACTTTAGTTTATTACAATAGCTATCTTCTAATTGACTCACTAATATTAGTACATATTATCAGAGTAACTGATCTGTAGAGATAGCAAGTAGCTTAGTGGTTTCCTGAGTCCAAGGTGTGGCAGAAGTAAGGAGGGATTATAATGGGGCAGGAGAAAGCATTTGAAATGATGGCTATGTTTGTGGGTGGTGGTTTTACCTGTGTATATATTTGTTTAAAAACTTATCAAGTTGTATACTTTAAATATGTGCAGTTCATTTAATGTTTAATTATGCCTCAATAAAACTGTCAAAATAGGGTGACTGAAGCCATGGCTCACATGGCTTCAGGTTCAAAGACTTGGAGAAAGTGCTGATGTGCAAACCCTACGTAATAAAAGAGTAATATGCAAATTAACCATCACTCTGCTACACCCACCAGCCATGCCACCAGCCAATCAGAGCGAGTATGCAAATTAACCCCAACCAAGATGGCTGCAGCCACAGAGAGCAGTTGAGAGGCTTGGGTTTCCTTGGCAATAGAGGAAGCCCAAGCTTCCCCCACTCTGGCTGGCCTAGGCCTCCACTCAAGAATACAAAGTTTCAATTGTAGAAGGTAAACAAATTCAAACAGAAAAGGATGCAGCCAAGGAGCAAGCAGAAGGCTTGGCTCCGCTCTATGCTACAAAGTTTCAATTGTAGAAGGTAAATAAATTCCAGATACCAGGGCCTCTGCTTGGGTCACCAGGGGGCATGGCTGACCTGCAAACCACCACAGGCCCCTTGCCCAGGCCACCCCATGCCCCAAGGGAACCCCACCCTGATCCGAGACACCCTTCAGGGCAAACCCCACTTATGCACCAAGCCTGGGGGTTTTTACTCTACTAAAAGAGTAATATGCAGATTGACCATCACTTCAACACACAAGATGGCTGCCCCATGTGGTCAAAGATCCTGCCCCCATGTGGACACAAGATGATCACCACAAGATGGACAGCAGGGGAGGGCAGTTGGGAGGCACCAGGCTGCAAGGGAGGCCAATTGAGAGGAACAAGGTCTGAAAGGGAGGGCAGTTGGAGGCAATCAACCCAGCAGGGGAGGGTAGTTAGGGGGGACCTGGCTGGCAGAGGAGGGAAGTTGGGGGCAAACAGGCTGGCAGGGGAATAGTTAGACATCAATCAGGCTGGCAGGGGAGTGGTTAGGGGGTGATCAGGCTGGCAGGCAGAAGCAGTTAGGGGCAATGAGGAAGGCAGGCAGGCGAGCAGTTGGGAGCCAGCAGTCCTGGGTTGTGAGAGGGATGTCTCACTGCCTGTTTAGACCCCATCCCAGTCAGACATCCTTTGAGGGGTCCCAGATTGGAGAGGGTGCAGGCTAGGCTGAACCCCCCCTCCCCCGGACCCCCCTCCTCCCATGCACAAATTTCATGCACCGGGTCTCTAGTTAATACATAAGACAAGAAAAATAAATTTGGAAATTATGTGGGAATTTGGTACAAGGGACCAAGTTCCACTGGGTCTCCATTCTCATCTACTTTTATTTAATAGAATACACAATTGCCTTTCAGGATTGCAAACAGACATATCAAAGGTGATTTAAAAAATATATATTTTATTGATTTTTCACAGAGAGGGAGAGGGATAGAGAGTTAGAAACATCGATGAGAGAGAATCATCGATCAGCTGTCTCTTGCACACCTGCTACTGGGGATGTGCTCGCAACCAATGTACATGCCCTTGACTGGAATTGAACCTGGGACTTTTCAGTCCGCAGGCCAAAGCTCTACCACTGAGCCACACCGGTTTTGGCCAAAGGTGATGTTTGGTAAACAGTAAGGTTATCAGGTTGGGGGGGGGGGGGGTTGGCTTTAGGCCATTGAGTCATCAGCAGTAGGTAATAAAATGCAGATATTCACCCTGTGAATATCAAAGGCTGGACTTTTTGCATTTATATTAATTACTGTTTATCTTGGTTCCCAGCATGACCTTGATATTTTTGTCCTGAATGTCTTCCAGTGGTTTTAAGGAGAAAAAAACGACAAACCCAAAGGTAAATGAGAAATTCTGTCTCTGAAGAGTTAAAAATCATCATTTGAAAATGCTCCACTAACATGAAGTGTTTCTTGCCTCTTCTCATTTGGAAATATAAAATGATGACTAAAAACTACTCAACATGCATGCCAATTGAAGTTGATTAACCTCTGACCTTTATACATCATTTAATGAGGCAGCATGCATGCTGGCATGAAAAAGGCTCTGTCAAAATGCTGAGTTTGAGATGATTCCTTTTTCTGGAGCTCTTTGTTTTGCTCCCAGCCCACCTAATTTGACCCTAGTCATGCTCCTCTGAGGCTGGGGGCTTTATGTGAATCCCAATCAGTCACAGTTGTTGGCAGAAGCAGCCTGGTGGAGAATGACAGTGTGGCTTTTCATGTATAAAAAGATGTATGTGATCAACAGAAAATAAAATTTCCTTTTGTCTCTGGCGAGTCCAATTTAGCAATTATTATGGTATTTGAAGAAAATGTCAGCGTAGTGATTTTGTTTAGATTAGTTTGTGTTTTGATGAGCTGAGAAAAGAGAGTGGATGCCAGATAGGTGTGTGATAGCAAGCCGACTGAATTTTCTGGGCTGTACACAAAGACCGAAAACAAATTGCCCACAGATTGAAATAATTTCCGTGGGGTCACAAATGTCAACAACATCTTTCAGAATTGGTTTTCTTTCATGATGTTGTCCAGCTATCATTGTGATCGCCAGCGTCATTATTAAACAGTTGTTGATTGTCTTGTGCAGGGATTTAAAAAACCCCACTGAAACTATACATTTAAGGGAACGTGAAATTTAAATACTCCCTTTACATAGTTTCATTTAATTATGTGATAGATCTGCATATGATAACATATCCATAATTCTTCCATAAGCAATGGAAACTTTTAAAAAATGAGCTTGTAAAAGCAATATAGTGCCACTGTTAGAGCGAGGCTAAAGCAAGTCTTTCTAGTTGCCTAATGGACTATTAAAGCTCTTTAAATGGAGAATATTAATTTGGGCCTTAATTTCATAGGAACTGCTTGCTATCTGAGAGAAGCCATAATGCAAGATTCTTTTCTTATTCATTCACATAACTAAGACTAAAATATACAAACTTGTAGAGGGAAAGGACAGCCCTATCATCTATCCCACATCTTATCAGGCATGCCTTCATCTTTATCGTGCATTAATTCAGTAACACTTACTGAGCAGCTACTATCTAGGAATACATACAGATTCACATAGGTCAGAAGCATTACTTTGGTGAGAATATGACAGCACAGAGGTATGATCTATGTACAATGAGAGGCACAGAAGAGTCTCCTAAATTCCTGCTGTGGGTGGTGGCAGTACTCAGAAAAAGCTTTTCGGAGGAAGTGATGCCTCAGTGAAGATCTGAAAGATGAATAAGAATTAACAAGGCAAAGAGAGAAAGGAGGTAGAAGAAGGTCAAGGGCAGAGGCCAGCACATGTGAAAGCTCAGAGGAGAGAGAGAGAGCGATCATGGCAACTTTTGTAGAAATAAATGTAGTTCAGTCTGGTGGGTACAGAATGAATGGAGCAGTGGTGAGGCATATAACTGGGGAGGTAAGTAAAGGTCAGAGCAAGGCCTAACATGTAAGTTCAATTACCGAGCATACAAAGTAGTTTAAGCATGAGATTTACTTGCTTAGATTTTCACTTTAGAAAGGACTTATTATTGTCTGATGAGAAGAAAAGTAATTAGATTTGAAAGCAGATTATTGCAAAATATTATAATGGAAATTTGTTAAATATATTAGTGTTAATAAAATATTGCGTTTTAATTAGTTCTTTTGAGGTATATGTGATTTGGGTAGTTTTAATTGTATGTTATTGTCATATGCCTTTAAGACTCATATTCAGCCTAAACCGGTTTGACTCAGTGGATAGAGCGTCAGCCTGCAGACTGAAAGGTCCCGGGTTCGATTCCGGTGAAGGGCATGTACCTTGGTTGCGGGCACATCCCCAGTGGGGGGTGTGCAAGAGGCAGCTGGTCGATGTTTCTCTCTCATCGGCGTTTCTAACTCTCTGTCCCTCTCAATTCCTCTCTGTGTAAAATCAATAAAATATATTTTTTAAAAAAGAAAAAAAGACTCATATTCATGTATGAATATATAATTTAGAATTTAAAACCATAGTTACTAAGCCTCTTCTATTTCACTAAGAAAAAAAAACAAAAACACAAACCCTTTATGCACCAAACACATTCATAGTGTTCTTAAAAACACAGGTTCCATGAAAACCATCTAAAATGGAAATAGAAGAGAGAAGAATCCTGTAATACTTATTTATCATGTGAGTTGGGTTTGTATTTTATGACTTAATTAGGAGAACTCAATTCATTTGAGAACTGGAAATTAGGGCTAGAAGGCTGTATTTTGAGGTTAGTTTTTCAGCATTGCTATGTGTGAACCATTGTATGAAGTAGTTAATTCATGGATCCAGCAAAGGTTTTTGAGTGCAAACCGTATGCCAAGCATGGTGCCAGAAGTCTGAAAGAATGAGACAAATACAACCCTTGTCCTCCTGGAGCATATGGTCAGTTTGTGAGGAAGAGACCCATTGACCAACCAGTAAGTGGGATGCAAGGACGGTAGAATGTCAGTGCACAACTTGAGGCAGCAACGAGCTCGAGTGCAAGACGAAGGAGGGTGGTTTGAATGCCTCTCTCCAGTCTCTGAGGAATCCTTGGAAATTCTCCAACCTGTTTTTATGTCAGGGAACTTTTAGCCCATATTCAATTATCAGCACTTTAATTTTTACAGATCTGACTTCTTATGTCAATTTTGTTTTTCAATATATCCAGGGCGTCCTCAAAAATGCACACACACTTTAACAGCGGATGGCTCAATTGGTGTTTCTCTCTTTTCATATTTAACACATTGGAATTAATAATTATTTAAAGAGTGTATACATGTTTTTTTTAAACATCCTGTATATTTTTCACCCAGCAGGTTAGGAATTTTGCTGCAGAACCTCGCTGTTGGGTGATAAGAGGCTCACTCAAAAGTCACTTTATCATTGTAGTTTGGAAGGTGGAATTTAAATGAACATTTTTTAAAATTTTTTTAATTTTTTTTTTTTTTTTACAGAAGCCATGAGCTTGGGCACTCCATGATTCTTGGTGGTGGTCAAGCCCAGATTATGTTTTCATCTCTTTTTTGCTTATGCTAAGTCACACGATTGCTTTGATTGCAGAATAGACCCTTTAATTAAATGAATGGATATGAAGCTGGGCTTATACAGGGTTTACTATAGTAAGACATGGTTCAGCCTGAATCTTAAAAGGACTTGATGCATCTTTGATGGGAATAGAATAATTATAGTTGGTAAAATGTCATAGAGGTGATAAGCTTTAATTTATTTGAGTTTATTTGGTAATGAGATTTGTTTGAGGTTATATCTAGATCTGAGAAAGCAAAAATATAGCTGTACAGTGTCTTTAATGAATGTTTTAATTGTGCTTTTAAAAAAATTACTGAAAATGAAAAAGTCTTCTGTTTTAACATTCTAGCACATTGCCAAGAAGCTTGCTTTCTTGGGGCTCTCTGATTTAAGAAGTCATATAGTATGTGTATTATTTGATACAGTCCAAGGGGAGGGGAAATATATGTATATACTAGAGGTCCAGTGCATGAAGTTTGTGCACAGGTGTGTGTGTGTGTGTGTGTGTGTGTCCCTCAGCCAAGCCTGCTCCCTCTCCAATCTGGCTCACAATCCATGATTGCTGGCTCCCAACTGCTCACCTGCCTTCCTTCTGATTTCCCATAACCACTTCTGCCTGCCAGCCTGATCACCCCCTAACCACTCCCATGCCAGCCTGATTGATGTCTAACTGCTCCCCTGCCAGCCTGTTTGCCCCTAACTACCCTCCCCTGCAGGCCTAGTCACCCCTAACTGCCCTCCCCTGCAGGCCTGGTCCCTCCCAACTGCTCTCCCCTACAGGCTTGGGTCTACCCCAACTTTCTTTCCCTGCAGGCCCGGTTGCCCCCAACTTCCCTCCTCTGCCAGCCTGTTCATCCCTAACCTGCAAGCTTGATTGCCCCCAACTGCCCTCCCTTGCAGGCCTGGTCCCTCCCAACTGCCCTCCCCTATTGGCCATCTTTTGTCCATATGGGGGCAGCCATCTTGTGTGTTGGAGTGATGGTCAATTTGCATATTACTCTTTTATTAGATAAGATAGAGACCTGGTGGGGGCCGGCTGGTTTGCCCTGAAGGGTGTTTCCTTGCGACACGAGGCAGCCTGGGTAAGGGGCCTGTGGTGGTTTGTAGGCCTGCCTATGCCCCCAAGCAACCTAAGCAGAGGCCCTGGTATCTGGGATTTATTTATCTTCTATAATTGAAACTTTGTAGCCTTGAGTGGAGGCCAAGGATAGCCACGGTGTGTGGGAAGTTTGGCTTCCTCCTTTGCCAGGGAAACTCAAGCCTCCTTCTCTCTCTGTGGCCACAGCCATGTTGGTTGGGTTAATTTGCATACTCACTCCTGATTGGCTGGTGCTCGTGGCTTGTGGGTGTAGTGGATGTACAGTTAATTTGCATATTACTCTTTTATTAGAGAGGCTTCTATAAGCTGCATGTCTGAACAACTCATCTTTTTCACAGAGAGAAAACTGTATGTCATATAATTATGGACCTAACAATTCTAATTCATGTGCCCAGTTGTTGGTGCATGACTCATGGAAATGGGTTTGTTTGTTTATTTTT